AAACGCCGGGCCGACGGAATGCCAGCATCGTCCGGAGGTTGTCGTACGATTTTTTTCAGACGTAATAATGGCTGTTGTTGCTGTCTATATAAACAGCTGTGACGGCCACGCGGATGCGGGAGGAAGGGGTAGTGCGGGCTTTGGGCTGGAGGGAGGGGGGAGGAGGGGGAGGAGGGGAGCGCTGGGCCGTGAGCGTCCCCCGCGGCGCTTGTTGCAGCCTCGGCCGGCCTTATTCGTCTCCGTCAGGTGAAGGAATCCGTCCACGTCAGGTTGTGAATGCGCGGCCGACACAGACGAATCTCCGCCGTCACCCGCGCCCGCCCGACTCCTCCAAGCAGCGGGCGGAGGGGGAAGCCGCAAGGACGTCCCTCCTGCCTTCGTCCTCCAAGCTTTCGACCCTATAGACGCTTTAGTCTTAATGGAGGCGCCCGCCCTCTCCCCACCCTCCCGGGGGAGATTCCCACAGCCAAATTAATGATGTATAAAATGTACATGTCCCGTTTTGCTCATCCTGCTCCATTACACCACCCAGAGTGCGGGCGCCTGGCCGTCCCAGCGGCGTGGTGGTGGCGAGTGGTGAAGGTGGTGAGAGGCAGAAGGGTAGACTTAGGTAATCAGAGGACATTGGAAACAGACACAAGTAGGGTCTTCATTAAAGATATATACAGAATAAGAACAAACAAGAAATCTGCCTAGCGTCGGGGACTGAACGAGATAGGATACACAGACAAACATTAAGAACAGACGCCGGTGAAGTGGCAGATTTTTAGAGGGAAAACAAACATTCCCAGAGTAACCGAGTGAGCCAAACAGACAGTGTGGCAGACGCAAGATAAGAGCGAGAGAATGCGAAGGTTGGCAAAGAAGGAGCGACGCGAGCTCCCAGGTTACACAGTCGCGCTCACGTTCCGTCCCGAATCCGCGCCTTGGGCAACTCGGATGCTGCCGACGCCGCCGGACGAGGCGATGCAGCTGACGAAACCTGCGGCTCGCGTGCACGGAGCGCGCGGTCACGTCAGACTGGTCGCTGGTGGGAGCGGATTTGGAAAAGGGTGAAGGAGCAATAGTGATGTTTTATTATGATTACATTGATAGTATTATTTTGTTGGTATTAGTGTCATTATAGTTGCAGTAGAAATGATAGTAAAAATTCAAACCGTTTGCGAACATTCTAAAATATCCCCAACAAAGTCATATTTCTTTGGAAAGACGTGAAAGTTGTCTGGGAGAGCCAAACCCGTTTGCAGGAATTTGCATTCTACTTAATATCAGATCGTTGAAGAAAATAGAAATAATAATAAGAAGTAAGAGTAAGGAAGTGAAAAATTCTTTGGAGACAGCACCAAACAGAAGAGCGATGGCGAAGCGGCCCAACACCTGAGGAATATTTGCTGACACTGAAATATCGGTTGAATTCCAGTAGTGTCAGGGGGAGGAGACGGCTGTAGGTTTAGAGGGCCGAGATATATATACCAAGGGCGGGGAGCGGACCTGCCATAAATTATCCCGGATGACTCGCTACTGCCGCATTGAATTCTCCGGCCCGCGGCGGCCTCTCCTCTGCGCCTGCTCCCCGGCCGCGCCTCGCCCCTCTGATTATGATAATGATGAGAGACGAAGCGCCGGAATGAGAGCTGGCCGGTGCGGGCAGGCGGAGGGCCAGGCGGTAGGGTGCGGAGGGACTTCCGTCGGAGGAAGGCGCAGCGTCTGCCTCCTCCGGCGCAGGGAGGCCAGGACTGACGTATGCATAGGTACTCGTGTTATGCCGCTCGCTTTCATGACTGAACGTTTGATCGATTTTTATGGGAATTGTAATCTTATGGAAGGGGAGAAGGGAAAGAGGGAGAGAGCGACAGACAGACAGACAGGCGCTAATGGATTAAGAGCTAGATGCATAGTAGTTACTAGTGGATAGATTGACGAACAGAAGGCTTTAGATACATCAGCATAAGTGACGTAACTTCCGATGAGAGAATGTCATCTTGATATCTGTTACAGTCGTGGGAGCTGCGTCGCCGCCCAACACGCAACCTCCGGGCGTGCAGGGCTGGCGTGCGAACAACTATAAATATGTGAACGGAAGATTGAAAGTGTTGTTGCCGCTGCAGACATTACCTCTGAGGGCTCATCACGCGAAATACGGCGTCCAGAATTTGGGTCGCAGGACACGATGTGGCTTCAGTAGGCAGGTGTCAGAAGCCTGGCCGGCGTAGGCAGGACGATGCACGAGAGCCGCGAGATGCCACGAACCGATGGGTGTGAGAGGAGGCGTCATGAGGCATGCTTGCGGGGGGCGTGGCCGGTGGGGGAGGGATTTCGGTTCGTGTTACAGGTAATGGCGGGAGTGCAAACTGAGGGTCATTTTCTGATTCGCTTTGAAGCTAAGCTTCTGGTCTTTCGCCCCCCCCCTCAATTCTTAAGGTTTTTTTTTCTAGATTTTTAGTGTTACATCCATTCTACATATATACGTTAATATTATTCGACTTTTTTTCTTGTTATG